AAAGAAAAATTCTTAAAAATTAATTTAATTGGAAAGAGATATGGCAGCATATTAGACACTCAGTTATTATAATTGGGTGTAGCATCGCACACACCCTCTCCAAGACTAAAAAAAATAACTTCTCCAAAATAAAATAATAAAATACAAATACGAAAAAGTTATTTGAAATTTGTACAAATGACATAAGTGTTATTATACGAAAATTGTCATAAGAAGTTCACACAGAGTCAAGTCAAACTTGATTTCTTTAGAAAGCTCAAGATATATGTTTTAATATAAAAATAATATTTCAAAAATTAAATTATTTTACAAATGACGAAAGAAAAAAACAGGAACTTAGAATATAAAAAAAGAACTTATTTTCATAATTATTTTTAGAATAAATAATAACTTAGAATATAAAAAAATAACTTATTTTCATAATTATTTTTATAATAAATAATATTATGATGAATCATAAGTTCTATCTCAAGACTGAATAGTAAAATTCTTTAAAATACAATAATAAGAAAACACATACAATATAAAGGTAAGATTACCAATAACAAAAATAAAAGAATAGTATTTGTTTTACTAACAAAAATAAAAATAAAAAAATTGATCATTTTTTTATACAAATGGATCTTAATTATCATAGTGATCCGCCTAAAAACCCACCTTTTGGAGTCTTCCTAGTGCAGTTATGAGCTAGAACACAACTATGCCTCTATCGTGCTCGATTTATCCTGCACGAGAAAGAACCGGGCTAATGCCGGAGTTAGCACTGCGACGGTCAAGTCAACGATTTGAAGTAGTTTTTAAATGGAGTACATTAAAATGTATTAAGGGTTTTCTCGTTATTTTTCTTACCTGGTAGATGTGAACTGGTATTTATAATGTTCTAACCTGAACCTTGCATCAAATCCGGATGAGTCGGTGAGCCGACTGCTTTCCCGCCTTTGCCGGACAGCGTTAACCATCATTCCTCTTGGGATGGCTATGGCAGCCCTCTTCCGGATTTCCAGGAGTAGCCTGGCCTGCGAGCTTTTTATATATTAGCGGCGGTATTTAGTCATTCGGACATTAAATGGTGTATTTAAAGCACCAATACGGGCATAAAGAATAATTGTCAGCTTTCATTAATGCAATGCCTCCCTCAACGTTTGTTGCCGCTAAAACTCCGTAGTGGTACCCCTGCGCCCCCTTCACCCGAGCGATTGAGCGGCCACGACTCCTCGGGCACTAGTTTTCTTGGTAGTTTAAGGAGCGCGAAGAGAGTTTGGGATTTGGGCCCCTTCTCTCCGTTGGGCCTGCTTGAGAGGGCTCATGGTGTGTTATCTCAATTTGCGCAGAATGGGGCCCTGCTCTTTTGGCCCCCAATTCCTTCTGGATCACATAGTATAAAGGGCAAGCAAGACATTGTCGAGGTGAGGACAAGCATTTATGTTGGATGTCCGGTTAGTACAAATATTAAATTGTTAGTAAATGTTGAATTATTGTTAATTTCATTAAAACAAAAAAAGTCACACAAATCACAAATGTGTGTTGGCAAATACCATTTTAAAAAGCAGTGGTCGTAACATAAATAAAATAAGTCAATTACTAATATAATTAAGGTTGCGGCTATATGCAATACTAATTCCAAATTAAAGAAAGATTCCAAAAGATTCCATTTTATTAAGATGAAATGACAAATATAGCCATAAATTAAATTGGCTTTTGTTTGCTCATGCAAGACCAAATAACAAATAATGAAGAAAAAAAAAAACAAAAAGAAGAAAACAAGGAAAACGTGAAATTAAGA